CTGCGGTTTTAGAACTTAGGCTGTTTCAGAAAGTAATTGTCTAGGTCTTAGTACATTATCCTGCGGTTTTAGAACTTAGGCTGTTTCAGAAAGTAATTGTCTAGGTCTTAGTACATTATCCTGCGATTTTAGAACTTAGGCTGTTTCAGAAAGTAATTGTCTAGGTCTTAGTACATTATCCTGCGATTTTAGAACTTAGGCTGTTTCATAGAGTAATTGTCTAGGCTTTAGTAGGTCATCCTGCGATTTTAGAACTTAGACTGTTTTGGGGAGTAATTTCTACGTTTTAGTACTTCATCCTAGGGTTTTAAAACTTAAACTGCCCCAGGGAGTATTTTTTTAGCTTTTAGTACGTCATCCTGGGATTTTAGAATTTGTACTATTTGGGGAGTAATTTTCTTGTTTTAGCACGTTATTCTAGGATTTTAGAGGTTACATTTCTTGATTGTAGATTTTCTGGGTTTTAGTTCATTAGTTGAATTCTTTCTTAGAGTTTGTAATTAAAATAACTAACTATTCAGGTGTTGTTTTTCTCGTACGAACTATGATTAATGTTATAGTATATTACACTGTAGATCACGTGACCCCTATTGTACAACTTGTTTCAAATTCTCGCTCATCTCTTTTAGCAAGCTTCAAATTACGTGAACTTTCTTTTCTTTCAAATTCCGACAGAAAACAAAACTCAGTACAGCATAAACTTAAAACATTTATTGACACTGTCTTTGACAAAAATACAATCTTTCTATCAGGTGTTTTTTCTAAACTATGATGTCATACATTATGTAACATAGTCTACTTTAATTACGAAAACTTAATACTCGTTTTACGTCTTGTAGCATCCTCTGTCTAGTTAACTCGACTTTTTGTGGAGTTGACTTTCTTAGCTTTGAGATTCACTTGTTCGAAGATCTTATCGTTCTCCTACGTAACGCAGGAGTTGCAACGTCATTAGAGAGTAAAAACGTGTAATCACCACGTGCGACAAACGTCACTGTCACCCATACAGTCTTGTAGCGATGATTTGAGCACTTGTTTCCTTAGCTTCTTGAGGTTTTCCAAAACTACCAGGTTGTTTGGATCTAGGTTTTGTGCTGATCGGTAGTGCTTCAACGCTTCGGTATACCGACCCTAGGAGGAAAAATAAAAACAGTCGAATCATGGCACAAACAATAAATGAAAAATTACGAAACAAATTCAAAACACCAAGTAAAAGGTACTGTACACTAACTGTTTTACAGTTTTATTTACAGGAGAACACAGCCTTGGCCTTAGTGTTTTACAGTCTCTAGAGTAAGGGGTACTGTATAGAACTGATCCAACTATTATTTACAGTCTCTAGAGTAAGGGGTACTGTATAGAACTGATCCAACTATTAGTTACAGTCCCTAGAGTAAGGGGTACTGTATACGAACTGATGTACAGTATTATTTACGGGAGAACATAGTCCTGGCCTTAGTGTTTTACAGTCTCTAGAGTAAGGGGTACTGTATAGAACTGATCCAACTATTATTTACAGTCTCTAGAGTAAGGGGTACTGTATAGAACTGATCCAACTATTAGTTACAGTCCCTAGAGTAAGGGGTACTGTATACGAACTGATGTACAGTATTATTTACGGGAGAACATAGTCCTGGCCTTAGTGCTTTACAGTTTACAGAGTAAGGGGTACTGTATACGAACTGATGTACAGTTTTATTTATGGGAGAACATAGTCCTGGCCTTAGTGTTTTACAGTTTACAGAGTAAGGGGTACTGT